TTGATTTCACTCATTTCAGATATTGACAGCGCACCTTTCTCTTTAAAAGGGCCCAAGGCAGCTGACATCATTAAAACGTCAATATTTAAAAACATGGTGCATATTGGTGAAATGTAAAGTGTTAGGCAACGGGTCCCTGCCCCAAGGAGCTTGCAGTTTAAAAATGAATACAGGAAATACAAGGTGGGGAGAAGGCCTAAACTGGGCCAAGAGAAAAAAAATATTTTGGTTGTGTGCCCTTAAGCTTAATTTTATTTATTTATTTGATCTGTATCCTTCCTTTCTCTCTGCAAACTGGGACTCCAGGCGGCAGGTCTTGCACGCTTGTCTTCCTCGTTTCTCTCCTGCGCTTTTCCCCCCCTGCTTTTCCTTTCTCAAGGCCTTGAAGAAAGCGCCCTAAGGCCTTTTTATACTCAGTTCTAGGAAAACTGAGTTTTTTTCATTGACAGCTCCCTGTCTGTCTGTCTGGGAGGGAGGGAGCAAAACAGTCCACCTTTGAGACCTCCCGTTGTCCAGTTGTCCTTGAGCCCATGTGGAGTGTGAGACCAGGACTCAGGAGGCTTGGGCTCGAATCCCCACTCAGCCATGGAAACACACTGGGGGGGGGGCAGAGGTTACTGGTAAAACCACTCCTTAAGTATCTCACAGACCTTCAAAACCCTGGAAAGATGGTCCTGCCATGGAAGCAGCAGGATGGGACAGAACATTCATTCATTCACTCATTTACCATTCCATTAATGTAAAATATATGCCTTATGATTCTGCTTTTATTGTGGACCTGATGCTGAGAGCTGCCCTGGATTTCTTATGTCCAAAGGGGAAAAATATGAATGTTTCTGTTTTTATTAATGGCCTAAAAGCAATAGTAAAATCTATTGCATGTCCTATTAATAGTGTTTAACATGCCTGCAGCAGCATCACGTGCCTGTGCATGCATGTGAATCATGGGAAGTTCTGCGATTCCGAGGAGAAGTCAGGGCTGTGCAGGTGAATGTGAGGATTTCCTTTGTTTGTGGTTAAAGCAAAGCGTGCTGCTTATTCGTGCACAAAGCACGCTCTTGGGAGGTTTACAGCTCAGTTGTGCAGCCTACACATGGCCAGCCTCAGGAAGCTGGGTACTCGATTTACCAACCTTGGAAGGATGGAAGGCGGAGTCAACCGTGAGCCGACTTCCTGAGTCCACTGGGATCAAACTCGGGTTGTGAGCAGAGCCTTGACTACAGGACTGCAGTTTAATCACCATGCCATGAGGCTCCTGAAGGTCTAAGGTTCACAACAGGAATCCCACAGCTGGGCTGGCTGGGGATTATGGGACTTGAAGTCTCAAAGAAGTTAAGTTCCCAATGCTCAACAAGCCCCCACATTTCTGCCCCTTTCTCTTCTCACCAGCAGGTTTTGGACTGGGGTTTGGCATCTGTGCCGCCTGCCGCGCCCGTGAATTCTTGCTTCCGTCCAGAGGCTAGGAGGTGTGAGGAAGAGGAGGAGGAAGAGGAGGAGGTGGAAGACGCCCACCGCCAGGCCACGGAGATCTCCCTGTGGACCGTGGTTGCTGCCATGCAAGCCGTGGAGAGGAAAGTGGACCTCCATGCCGGGCGGCTGCTGACCCTGGAGCGGAGAACCGGTCTGGCGGAGAAGAAGCTCTCGGGCGCAGAGAAGGCCATGGCGGAGTTCAGCCACCACCTGGCGGCCCTGGGGACCCTGATCCAGGAGTACGGGCAGCTTCAGCGGAGGCTGGAGAACATGGAGAACCTGCTCAAGAACCGGAACTTCTGGATCCTCCGTCTCCCTCCGGGCCCCAAGGGGGAAGCTCCCAAGGTTTGTGGGTCCTGGAGCGTGCATCAATGATTATTCTCCCTCTTGGATTGCAGCACTCAGGATTCCCCAGCCAGCTTAGGGAGATGGAATCCAAAAGGTTCAGTTCCATTCAGTTATCATCATAACCGTTGAACGGCACAGCTGGAAGGCACCCTCCGGATCATCCAGTCCAGCTCGTATCAAGGAGGCCGGTGGGGGTGGGGAATCGAACTCCCAACCTCCGGCTCTGGTGGGGGTGGGGAATTGAACCCCCAACCTCTGGCTCCACAGCCAGACGGCTTAAACCCCTGAGCTAGCCAGCGTTTCTTTTTTTTTTTAATCCATCCAAGCCCCTTCCCTGTTTGTTCCTTCCACCCTGGCCTCGCAATCCGAGTCTGCTTTCCATTCCAGGTGCCGATGTCCTTTGACGAGGTCTCCTCCGTCTATGTCTCCGAGCAAGAAGCCGGAAGCCTGGAAAAGTGGCCGAGGGAGCTCTACAAGAAGAACGTGGCGAAAGGGAACTGCGAGTCTTTGCTCTCAATGGGTAAAGAGAATTTCTGGCAGCCCGGAGGGGGTTCTTCTGTGATTCGTGACCCAAAACCCAAGCCCTAGAGAGAGAGAGAGAGAGAGAGAGAGAGAGAATGAGAGAGAGCGCGTGTGCGCACGAGAGAAGGCATTGTCAGGGAGTAGCAGCTGGGAGGCAATTTAGCTGGTCTTCTTGGTTAGATCCACGCCTGGATGGTTGACTTACTCCTTGGGAGAACCTTCAAGGCTGCCCTTGAACGCCCAGCAAAGAAGGCCCCGTCAAGGGCTCTGAGCCACGACAGCTCAACCGAGCCTCCTTTTACCTGCTTGAATGCTGTTTTAATGGTGTAAGAAAGCCGCCTTGGGTCCCTTTGGGGAGAAAGGCGGGATAGAAATATTTCAATTAGATACCTGTTGTGAATCATGTGGGAACCGTCTAGAATAGACTGATTCAGGTTGATGATCTTTCTGTTTCTTATTTGACTGCTGTCTGGTATTTTACAAAAAGTTGTTTTTTTCTGGAGGGGTAAAGAAGAAAGGGAGGAAGGAAGGAAGGGAGGAAAGACAGATAGACAGACAGAAAAACAGAAAGAAAGAAAGAAAGAAAGAAAGAAAGAAAGAAAGAAAGAAAGAAAGAAAGAAAGAAAGAAAGAAAGAAAGAAAGGAAAGCATCTCGGGCGGTTTCTCCACAGGAGCCACCACGGACCGGTCGGTTTGCCTTTTTTCCTAATTCCAGATTACACCATTGCCAAGCCGGACCTGCTCTCCAGGGTCGAAGGTGGAGAGGATCCTCCGTGTGTGGTGGATCAGGGCCGTTCAGAGGAAGAAGAGGCCCCCGGGGACATCAGCACAGGTGATTCCTTAGGTCTGTGATTTGTGAGGGGGGCCTCCCCCCACATTCTAAAATGGCTGAGGGGGAAAAAAAGTTTTCCCTTGCCCAAAAGGGGCTGGGCGGATGAGTTGTGAACAGACGGCCCCAAACCGAGTCCTTCTGAGATGTATTGGGTGAGGGTAGCACAGACCCTCCCCCCGCTCCCCCCCCCCGCTAAATGCATGCTGGGCTTTGCTGTACTCTAACACATATGAATGGGGCCAATTGGAGAAGACGGGTTTAGGAAAAGCCGCTTTTAAATCCTATCCAGGCTTCTCATTCTTGTCAATATCTCTCCCCCCCACCCAAATTACGGTTGATTGGTCGATCTGAATGGGAAATGGGATAATGCCAAGGATTTATTCTTCTACCTCTCAATGCATAGAATTCCTGGCTGCTCCGAACGACACGGTGGCTTTTATCAGAGGAGAAGTTGTTCCTTCTATGGCGAGTAAATGGAACGCCGAAGAAAGGGGAGCCCCCGCAGGCCACAATCCTGGTGAGTTACAAGCTGGCATGGCTCTGAGTGGGGAACGGAGGCCCCCTTCGCTTTCTCCAGGGCTGTCCCTGCAAATGTTCATGGAAGCCCATTGGCCTTCTCTGGAGGCTTAATGAGGGCAGCTGGCTAGACAGACGTAGATCTATAGCTGCATACATAAATGTTTTGCTATCCTCCTTTCCATATTCTGCGGTTACTGCCGTTCAGTAGATGGCAGGAGACCAGTCTGGACGCCCTCCTTGTCATCCTCCAGCTGTCAAGCAAAGACCTTCTTTTTTTATGAAGCCTTTTAATAAGTAAATTACAGCAAAGGAAAGGGTTTTAATGGAGGGAGTTATCTTTTTTTTTTAAAAAAAATAACATTTTAAATTTGTTACATTTTAAAAAGGTTTTACTCAGTAATTTTTAATGATTAATCTCTTTGACAGTTTTTCAATATGTTTCATATACTTTTGCAACTTACCTTTTTTAAAAATGTTTTAATACTTGTGTTTGAAGAGTCTTTGTGAACTGTCTTGTGAACTCTCTGCCGGGAGCAAGGCAGTGTGTAAATTAAAATAAGAAAATAAGTAAACAAACAAACAAATGGGCCATAATCTTATTAGCTGAACCCATGAGTTCTATTCAAATCTCCGAATTTACGGCAAGGAACGGCTGCAGGTTGAGAAGCCAGCCCTGGCGTTACCTCTTGCAACCGTCTTGCCTGACTCCAGACCCCACTGAACACGTTCCCTGTTGAAATCTTAACTTTGAGGCCACTTCACCCCGAAAAGCGATGCCGCCCGCATGAGTTTGGCACCAAATAACTGCAAGGGCTGGGGCATGACCTGATTGATTAAGAAACCCTCCGGCCAACTTAGCTAAAAGAAACTCTGGATTTCCCCTGGGGACACGTTCATGTTGCTGATGGTTTCCTTGCGGGCTGTTCTTGATGTTCCCTCCAGCGAGCTGATGGGGAGGCCCGTGGCTTCCATGATTGTTTTATCCTTGCAGCCCTCCTGCCCAGTTGGGACTGGGCCGAGGTCCCCCTTTGGGGCGCCAAACCTCCATGTCCAGCTCCGTTTCCCCTCTTCTCGCCCCGCAGAGGCTGCCTCCTCGACCCAGACGCCCCCCGGGCCGGATGCGGGTCTGTACGGTGCCTTGCCGGAGGCGCTGGACCAAGCCACCTTCTGCTTCCCCGAGGAAGGCTTGGCCTGTGTCGACGGGCAGGCGGTTGGCATCGGAGGCGGCCTTGAGGAGCCGGCGGAGTGCGGGCAAGGCTTCGGGGATTTCACCACTATCATCATCCAGGAGGGGGCCCTTCCCGGCGAGGCCCCCTACGTCTGCCCGGACTGTGGGAAAAGCTTCCTCTACGAGGAGCAGTGCGCCCTGCATCAGCGGACCCACCCCAGGGCCTCTCCGGAGCCCCAGGGAGGGCCACCCGCCACCCTCCGGCCCGGAGCCAACGTCCACTCATGCCCCGAGTGCGGGCGCTGCTTCCCCCACCAGGCGAGCCTGAGCAAGCACCGGCTGTGGCACTCGGGCGAGCGGCCGCACACCTGCGCCCAGTGCAAGAAGAGCTTCCGGCTGAAGATCAACCTGCACCTCCACCAGCGCAGCCACGCCGCTGCAGCAGGGCTGGAGGCCGCGCAGGCCAGCTCCTACATCTGCGGCGAGTGCGGGCGCGGGTTCAACCACCACTCCAATTTCCTGCGGCACCAGATGATCCACACGGGGGAGAGGCCGTACGCCTGCGCCGAGTGCGGGAAGACATTCATCCGCAAGGAGCACCTGGCCACCCACGGCCGGCTGCACACGGGGGAGCGTCCTTACCGGTGCCTCCTCTGCCAGAAAAGCTTCACCCGCAAGCAGCACCTGGTGGGGCACCAGCGCCTCCACGAGGGGGAGGGGGCCTGGCTGGAGAATCACCTGCTGCCGAGCCAGCCGGGGGGAACCAAATCCCAGGCCGGGCCCGGCGGGCCCTGTTTCAGGCGGGAGATGTTCCCCCCATAAACGCCCTGTGAAAGGAGACGGGGAAAGTCCTGGTGGGGACAGAGGGTCCTCACGGTCTTGGACTCAACTGTCGGGTCTTCTCAAAAATGCCACGCCGACCTTCCCCAAGCTGCCGCCTCCTCTAGATGGGTTGGACCACATCCCCCAGAATGTGGGTGTGGGGGATTCTGGGCGTTGTAGTCCAATCCCATCCAGAGGGTGCCAGGACGGAGGGAGTTGCTTTCGGGTTCTGCAGCTTAGAGGCAGGAAGTACAGATCTTCAGCATGAAATCATGAAGCCAAGAAAGGTGTCTATATCATTCTTCATTCTGGGAGTGCTACCGGAGTGATACGCACACTCCTTACAGACAAAAGGCCTGAACGGGAAGGCTTGGAGGCTGAGCTAGGCCTAGCTTCCCCTCACTTCCTGTTCAGAAGGGAAGCTCCCAGCTGTTACCCAAACAGGAAAAGGAACCGGGCCTGGCTAGGCCTCGCAGCCTTCCCGTTCAGGCCGTGTCCTCCAGGTGAGCCACATTTAGGTGCCCGTAAAGGGTCAGGTAGACTTTCCAGAATGGAGAATTGTGGGGTTTTTACTCCAAGAAACCCAAAAAGCCCACCCCTCGTGTCCACATGTTTTCCTGAGCCCTTGCTAGGTTTTGGAGGTTACAAATATTTTCCCCTCTCTTTGACAGAAATGCAGATACCTGCCCACCTTGCTAATAATGCCTAGCAGAGAGAGGCTCTTGGTTTCTTTTCTTTTTTTCTTTTACCCCCCCCTCCCAATAATGCTTTCTCCAGTTCTTGTTTGAAATTGTTTCTTAATCACAGAAGACACCAAAACGTGGTCTGTGTCTCCTGCTATTCCCTCCTTTGACCATGCCGTAGGAAAATGCCTTTTCTAGGTAGTAACTCATAGGGAGAGTCTGCCAGCCAGCACGACCATGGACAATCTGGAGTGGGTGGGTGGGTTCTGGGGAGTTTGGTCCAAAAATGGATTTTTCCAAGATTTTGATATTTCAGCAATAGTTTTGTGGGCCCTAGTTTAGCGTCCTGACGCACTTGGGTACAAGATTTGTGTGTGAAGATATATTTGTTAGTTGGGGGGGGGGAACTTGATGGGAAAACAATTATATATCCCACTTGTGTTTTTCAAAATCATTAACAACTGGAGTAAAACACAGACAAACAAAGGGAAACAAAAATCAATATGGCACACTGTAATAATCCAAAAATAAAACCAGAGTAGCAAAGAAGGTCAGTGAACCATAGACGGAGATGAATTATGGGGGGGAAACTTGATGGGAAAACAATTATATATCCCACTTGTGTTTTTCAAAATCATTAACAACTGGAGTAAAACACAGACAAACAAAGGGAAACAAAAATCAATATGGCACACTGTAATAATCCAAAAATAAAACCAGAGTAGCAAAGAAGGTCAGTGAACCATAGACGGAGATGAATTATGTGGTTTGTGGAATTACGCTCACTCTGGCAATAAAATTCCAACTGAATCCTGGGCAGTGGACCTACTAAAGTATGATTATATTTGGATCAAAACAACAGTATTCATAAAAACATAACATTCTCCAAAGGTGCAATTACTTATCAGGCAGATGCTGTGCATCGTAGAGGTTGTCTCCCGGCCATTCCTCTTGAGTGCTCTTGTCCGTTCCCCTCTCTAGGATAAAAGAGCCCTGTATGGTGTCTCGTAACCCATCGTGGGCTCACGAACCCCTCCCCAGGTGGGCTGGCTGGGCAATTCTGGGAGTTGATTTTCCAAGAAAAGAACTCTTCCAAGCTCTGGAACTGACACTGTTGAGAACAGGATGCTGTTTGCAAAAGAGGGTGATGTCTAGGTCCCTCTCGGTTGTGTTCTAGGTCCACCTACGTAGATCTGCTGTAGTCATGCAGCTGAAGAATCCCCCAGTCCGCTCTGAGCCAAGGTCCTATCTGCTTGTGCGCATGCACACAAGTTGCCGGGCAGTTTTACTTGTGCAACAGAAATAGGTGGGAAAGGAGACTATTCCACTCGGTCTGTAGGTGAGACGTCCCACGGAGTTTCTCTCTGGAAGTAAAGCTCCCTGTAGGCAGTGAACATCCTCGGGAACAAGCAGGCGAGGCCTTCCATCTTTTACTCGGGCACGTTTTATTGCGGGCAAAGGTTTGGACGTGGAGTTGCATCCAAATCTGGGCTTCTTGCCCGGGGAGGGGGGCTCTGAGGGAATCCCCTCCCCACCGCCACACCTGTCCAGGAACAGAGTCTGCTGGGAGTCACTTTTCAAGCTCGGCTGCAGCATGACTTTGAAACTCATGTTTGAATGGGGGGTTCTGGGAGGTCTTTGCCCCTCCCCCCCAAAAAATTGGGGGAGGGGGAAAAGGAACTTTCCCATTCTGTGCACACTCCACCTATGGAGAGCCAACAGGGCGCATCCGTTTGCCCCCTTCCAGCAAAGGAGAGTTCTCCTGCGGCATCTTAAGGGATGCCCCCCCCCTTTGGGAAGGGCCCAGCTGGGCCCTCCTCCTCCTCCTCCTCCTTGGCCCCCAGCTCCTGCCCTCCAACCATCCCAGCTCTCCAGCTGGGGTCGCCAGGGTGGTCTGCCTATTGCAACACCAGCAGCTGCTTTTTGCTGCTTTTTCCCCCTTTTTTTGGCTTGCAGCCTGGAAGGATGGGGTCTGTGTCTGTGACTGTCACTTCAAGAAAAGAAGACATAAGTGGGTCCTGGATCAAGGCACGCCTGGACTCTCCGCGGAAGCAAAAAAAGAAAAAGAAATGAGGACATGGAGCCGGCCCTGCTTTGGGTGCAGCGTGCGCCCTGGCCCCGCGCGCCCAGCCTCTGCTCGTTCTGCTGCCGGACCGACGGAAAGGGAATGCGCCCTCGTCCTTGAAATTCGTCCTCCGCCCTGCAGGGGCCGCTGCTGAGAAAGCCCGCCGCCTCTCCTTGCGCTTTCCGGCCTCTCGGCTTTTCCCGACCATAGAGGTAGCCCCCGAAGGGAGAGAAGGGGTCAAGGACTTTGACGCTTCCGGTTTCCCTTTGAACGCGGGCGGCTGGAAGGAAAACAACTGGCGTAAAGGAGGTCTTGGACCATAGATGCTTGCGGAAAGAACGACCCCTGCGTTCTGTTCAGGCGCTGCGTCTGGCGGGTCGCTCGCTGGCCTTTCCGCAGCGCCCTCTGCCGGGCGGAGTCTGCCACTGGCTTGTGCGCCCTAGCGCTGGATCTGGCTTTGAAAAACGCTTTTAGAGAAGGTTTCCAATCTTTTCTTTACACACCAAACTTTTTTCCTGCAATAATTGTACTCTAATACTGTATTTTCTGGAGCCTAGTGGGACAAAAAGGCGATGGACGAACGAGAGAGGCTCCAAAATAGTCTCAATGAATTACTCATAATAAGCAAATAAATAATGATACAAATCGTTATTATCAATGAATTAATACCAATTAAAATAACTGACTTATCCTTGTTTTAGGGTGTGTGCTTTTAAAAGTTTTCCAGAGCTGGAAAACTTTCTTCCAGCCAGGAGCATCAGATTTTTTTTTTATTTTTGCAAAGGGCAGCCCACATTTCATCAGATAGGGAGATATTGATCATTGGCCCATGACTGGGCAGAAGTCAGACGGAGGGGAATGGAAAAGCACAAGCACAAGAAGCATTTAGCAAGTCCTGTTTCAAGAGCGTCATCTTCTTAGCACTGATCAGCAGATCCGCCCAGGGGTCCCTATGGAAAAAAAAGCTTCTTTTAAAATCCAAGTAGGAAGGAACTGACTAAAGATGATCTGAAGATGAGAGTGAGGATGGTAACAGCAATACAAAAGAGACAAGGGGTATCTGCGTGAAAACTCCTTGTTCAAACAGAGGCCATTCAGCAAACAAAAGGAGGGGTGTGGTGGTTGAGGGGGATGATGCCTGCCCTGCCCTGGAGTTTTATCTCGCCACACCTGGGTGAATCTGCTTGTCTATGCAAAAAACGAGGCTCTTGTCTTCTCTCAGAGGCAGCTGGTTAAAGATAAGCATCCCCAGGTTGCCTTTTTTGACTTTTTTCCTTCCCCTTCAGCCCATCTGCACCAGGCTAGCCTTTAAGGTCCAAGAAGATGCTTTAAGAGCGTTAGGTTCTATTCTTCTTGTTGTCTTGTTGCTGCTGAGCTTTATAAAAAAATTAATTTGTTTAACGATCTATTTAATAATATGTTTTTTACTGCTGTTATGTTGCTATATGCTACAAAATCAACCCTACAAATATTGTGTCCCCCCCCCCACAAGCCCTACTCAGCTCTTGCAAACTCAAGGTTGATCCTTTATGGAATGAATCCGTCTCCTTCTCTGGCGTTTCTGTTCTCCTGCTTCGTTCAACTTTTCCAATGTAGCACTATTATCCGTTCTGGCATATCTTAGGAGAAATTTCAGCATATTTTAGGAGTGCCATGGAAATAATTGGAAATACTATTTCTGGTGCGTGCTGTCAAATTGCATCCGATACACGGGGACCCCCTGCTCAGTTCTCTGTGCTTCTTTTAAAGGAGTGAATCCATGTTGTCTTCCTTTTTTCCTGCTGCAGTCTCTTATTCCAGCACATCTTATCTTCTCATGATAGGCCCAAAGTAAAACGAATTCAGGCTGGATTTACTCTAGGACTCACTTGTTCGTCTTTCTGTCAGGTGTATCTGCAAAGCTCCTCTGGCACTATATTTTCAAGGTATTCACTTTTCTCTCCCCCCCCCCGGCTTCCTTCACTGTCCAGGTTTCACATCTATAGACAGTAATTGGGGAGAGGTGATGTGGATGGTAGAAACCAGACATCTCCTAACACAGATGACCTTGGCCTTGGACTCCAGTGACCCATAAATTCCCTCTATTTATTTATTTTTTTAACTGTATTTATATTCTGCCTTTCTCCCAGGTGGGATTTCTCTAAGTGAATGGCTGTCCGTGTGTGTGTGTGTGTGTGTGTGTGTGTGTGTGTGTTTTAAACAGATCATTATGCCTTATTGCATTGAATATGTTTCAATGCAATGAATATGCTGCTTATGTTGACCATTTCTTTGAGCATTAATGAATATGTTGCTTATGTTGACCATTTCTTTGAGCATTACTTGCTTGATCCTGCTTAGTATTTGCACACTTACTCTTTTTAGACTCAACACTGATGTTGGGAAAGTGTGTGGCTGGGCAGTGTCATTGAAGTGACCAACATGACTTTGACCCAACTCCGGGAGGCAGTGGCAGACAGGAGGGCATGGCGTGCTCTGGTCCATAAAGGGGTCACGAAGAGTCGGACAGGACTAAACGACTAAACAACAACAACAACTTGTTTTGATCGACGTTAGCCACCTTTGCCTACGCGTTCCTTTCTTCCTTTAAATATTGTCTTTTAACGACGCAGGCGCCTTGCGTCCCTTTTGAAGGAGAAAGGCGGGATAAAAGATATTTTAAAAGGAATCCACAAATAAAAGCACTCCAGGCGGTGAACACCAAAGGCCCCCCCACCAAAAAAAAGCGTGCATGTTTTTCAAATCAGCAGGATGTGGACTAGTAGTAGGATTCAAAGGAGATTAAAAAAAAAACCTATTAGGGTGAAAAACCAAAGAAAGTGGAAACTGAGCTCATGAAAAAGGGAAACGTCTTCAACCCTTCCCAGTCGCAGCCTTCTCGTGCCTGGATCTTGCAAGGACCCTCGAGGTTCCGCCTCCAAAGCCAAACAGGCGTCCCGGGACGGCATCAAGGCATGAATGAATGAACCCCTTGCGGGTTCTCGGCTTCCCCTCCTGGGCGCACGGGAACCGGAAGTGAGGACGCCGCCTTCCGCCTCGTGCTCCCTACCTCTATGGGCCAGGGCAGGGACGCCGCCGCAGCAGCAGCAGAAGCAAGTCGAGCGGCCTGGGCAGCCCGGCGCGGGCCCGTGTGCTCATGCGCGCCCCCTAGCGCAGCCGAGCGGCGCTGGGACTGGCCGGCCGGCCGACTGATAATCTCAGGTAGGGCTTGTGCCCGGTTATGCACAAGAAGTAACTTTCAGTCCAAAGTCTCAAAGGGCACTGTTGGCAAAATATGGCATAAATCAACCTGAAAGAGGAACTGCTGATGTTGTGAATGACATTAGTGGATCCTGTTTTATATACATTTTTAATTAACCAAAAAACACTATCCACACACACAGAGAGAGACAGTTGCATTTTTCTAATAATAAAGAAATGTGATTTGTTACGGAATTTTTTAAACATTCACGTAACTCATTTAATTTGTGTTATTCTGTTAAGTAATCATATTGCTTCCCACTGTGAAAAAAAGTTACAAGTAATATAATCACCTTTAATGCATTCCTTCCAAGTTCTGGGGGAGTGGGGTGGGGGGAAATCACAACCAGATGTTTTGTAAGAAACAACCAATTATTACAGAAGGAAGCTAGGAGGTAAATACTGGGCTTTGAAAATGAAATAGAATTCCCCCGTCCCTGCTATGGTATGTTAAGAAAAAAAAGTACCCAAGAGCTGCTTTTTTGGAACGAGGTTGCTGGTTTTGTCTGTTAAAAATAATTCCAAATTTATACATGGCAAGTAGCTAAAACTCAGGGTCATTGTTTACAAGTCTGCAAGTGACAATATCATAGAATGCCTACTGTACATGATGGGTCTAGTACTGAGTTCTTTCTGCAGAACGACTCTCGGGAAATAAAATGACCCTAAAATGTCTCATCCCAGTACATTACTAGGTTTTTCTTTTATTACAGTAGGACTACTGCTAAAACACTGCAGCCCAAAGCCTCGTGTGTGAATTATGCTGACATAAGGCATTTTGAATTCTTGTCTTAGTGACAATCCTGTCTTAGTGACAATTAAAGAGTCCCTGCTTTGAAGCTACATTGTGCGCAAAGCCGCCCAACTCATATGCAACAGGATTATATTTCAGCAATAAGTAAATGGAGCCAGGACTCCTTAGCAGCAGTCTGCCATTGGAGTTGATGTCCTTCTCTTATAATGGTGTATCTATTGCCAGAGGATTTGGCCCTGTAAGTGCTGACTCCATGAAAATCTTTTTAAATCACTCATATGATGGAGTATTGGTCTTTAAGCGTAGATGATGACATCTTCACATCACATTATATCCCAGTCCTAAACACATATCCCTAAATGTCAATCTTAATTATATTTCAGAACAGGAGATAATGCACACTGCTTGTGTGATATTCATTTGTGAGGTTTTTTTGGCCTGGACATCTGTTTGGAATAAATTGTGATCACACATAAATTGCATTAAGCTCATATAGATACAGTGGTGCCTCAACTTACGAATGTCCCTACATATGACCATTTCGAGTTACGACCAGCTTCGGCCGCAAAATTTTGCTTCTGCTTGGAACCGGGGCTTCCACTTACGAACAGAAAAAGGCAGGGGGAAAAGGTGGGAAATTCAAATTTCTAACTGTAGGTGACAACGAGGCTGCTTCTTTGTAGCTCTTTTGCCCGAGCAGTTAGAGTGTGTGCGATCGAAGGAGGCTTGGGACTGCCTTGCTTCTGCTTCTGAGTGAGTGTGTGTGTGTGTGTTTGCAGGGAGGCTTTAGGCTGCCTGGTAAGGTCAGGTGCTGTTTTCTGCTTTTTAAAAACTGTTCTGGGTGTTTTTACAGCGTGGTTTTGGGCTGGGGGGTTATGTTTCTGTTCTGTGATGGGTCTTGCAGTCTTTGTTTTGGGTTTTTTTTCCGCATTTCCAATGGGTTGGCGACAGAAACGAGAGGAGGGGATTCAAGGGTCTCTTGTGTTGGCAATGGCAAGCCTAGCCCTCTCTGCCCCCCACCCCCACCCCCCACCTTGGGGTCCTTGAACCTCAAATGGAGGCACGTCAGGAAGAAAGAGAAGGGCCCTGGCACGCTGCTGCGGTGCGGGGGGGGGAGCGACAAGGGCCGTGGCTGGTCCTGTCGGCCGGCTTGACCGCAGGGAGAGTGCCGCCACAATCCAGGCCCGGCATACGTAGCAAACCTCCTCGATCGTTCCCTCCCCTTACCCGTTTATGAGGATATTGCCATGGGGTGGGGGGGTGATGCATCTCTGAGCAGGCCAGAGGCAAGGGGGTGGACAGGTGATTTTGCAGCTCCTGTCTTGGTCTCTGATTTTCATGTATATAAAGCTCTGGGCCTGCACAGGGTCGTAGGCAGAAGGCTCATCCATCACCCGGAAGGTTCTCCAGAAGGATGGCTTCAAGGACCAAGGGCTCACGATGGCCTGCTTGGGTCAGGCCTCACCTGGATCAGGGTGTCCAAACCCAGGCCCTGCCCTTGAATACTGAGAAGCCAGACCAGAGGAAAGGGGTGAAGACTGCCCTGAGCAGCGTTCCGGAGGAAGTCCCGGGAAGAACGCGGAACCACGTTCCGCTGGAGAAGAGAGGCTCTTATGCAGGTGTAGGAACCTGCGCTCCCATTGCCCCCTCCCCCAGGTGTACCCGTACCATCATCTTCCATTGTTGGCCATGCTGAAGCCAAGGATGTCTGGAAGCCCACCCGTTCCCTGGCCCTCACCCTAGGTGACGTCCTAGCCATCCTCATCATCCTCATCTTTGAACGGCCGAGCTGGAAGGGACCCTGTGGGATCATCGGGTCCAGCCCCTCTCAAGGAGACCCAGATTGGGGGGGGGGAATTGAACCCCCAACCTCTGCCTCTACAGCCCGGATGCTTAAACCACTGGGCCATCTTCAGATATTTTTAAATGTTATATTATTTGAGGTAGTATTTTTTTAAAAAAAACCTCTGGCTGTGAGAGGTTTTGGACTACAGGAACCAAAGGCCAGGGATTGTGGGAGCTGAAGTCCACAATATTTGGAGGGCCAAAGGTTGACATTCACAGACACGGATGGTGAGGGAACATTTGTTTTGTCTTTGCCTCCGAGGGGAGGCTCCAAACGAATGGGCTAGTTCCAAAGTTAAGCAAGGGGACTTTGGCAAGAGGCCGGGCAGAGGGTGTTCACGGTGCCGGCGGTTCCACAGCACAACCCTTGGCAGGTTTTCCTGCGGGTCTCGGGCACCAGTAGGGAATTAGGTTGCAGGACGGTCAAGGGACGCGTGGACCTCTTGACCTCTGTGATTCCAAAGGTGCTTCAGAGTAGATGCTCTCCTGCCACTGTGCCGCTTCTTCTCTCTTAGCAGGACAAGGATGGGCTGTCGAGGGAAAAGAATCTTGTCCAGGTATTGTGACAAAATCCATGAAAAGGTGACGGGGTCATTGCGGCCTTCTCTAGAAGCGGCCAGTGTTGCTAGTCATAAAGGGCGGTTCTCGGTGACCCCGGAGAAACTGGAAGTGTAAGTGGGCTGGAGACAGAAGGAGGGAGAGCCTGAGGATAACACAGACACACCCCTACAACCCCCCCCGGTCCCACTATCTCTCCAATCATGCAGATTTCTGATGGGATTTTTGTTCTCTTTTGGGCCATTCTTGGTGGCTTAATTAACAAACCCGTAAGCACCACCACCACCACCAGTCCCAAAACTGGGAGAGGCCTCTTCCCCTTCAGTGGATCTTCTTTGGCCTGAGCCTGAACCTCTGGCGGGGAAGTGGGGGGGTTTTTCAAGCATCCGAGCCCAATGCAAGGGAGAGAACCAACAGGTGAGGTGGGGCAAACGGGTTTCATTCTTTGCATTATAGGGTTTTAAATTCTCAGAATTACAGGGAATACTGGTGTGTGCTTAGGTCTCAGCCTTCTGTCTGTCTTGCCCCGGAGACGCTCTGCCAATGAACGTGAGCGCCCCCCCTTCCATAACAGAGACAAAAAGCCCAAAGAGGAAGGGACATTGACCTCTTTGCAAACATTCGGCTGTTGCATTTCATTGCTTATGGCCAGCTGGTGGCTGGGCTGAGCCGGGGAGCAGGAAGAGATGTAGGAGAGGGTCCACCGGCGTGGGGCCCCCACCCAGCATATCAAAAGGTCACCGAGGGAGGATCAGTTCTGGCAGAGGAGGGCATGTCACCTGTGCGGGAGGGGCATGGGAATGGGAGAGGAAGGGGATTCTTCGGAAGTGCTAGGAAGACCCTCTGCTCCAATCCGGACTGACGCCTTCGTGTAGGTGTCTCCCCCCCCGCTTGAGAACCCCTGGGGTCCCTTGGTGTGATTTCCAGGAAAGTTGGTCTCCTTGGCCTCTCTTGGTGGCTTTCTTTGGCCTTTCCTTGCAAGTCAGGAGATAAAACCTTGAAATTAACTGCTCTGACCTGCTCTGCTTTTCGAGGCATTTTTTTTTGGGGGGGGGGAAACTGGTTCTGAGCTGTGTCTCGGTTGTCTAGGCCACTGTTGTCAATGGCATTAACTTTAGGTCGGGAAGTGTAATGAGATGTTAAATTACAACGAGGCTTTGCAGCCTTTTGACGAAAGGTCCAATTGCATTTCTTTCTTTTATTCTTCAGTCGCTGGGTATGTCTGTTGGCCTTCTGTAAAAGGTTCCAAGCCATTTTAAAAGAAGATACTGTAATGCCAATAATTTAAATAGCAGTTTCCCCACCACGAAAAAAATAAAAACCAGTTCTGGGAACAAGTCAATCAGAGCTGGTTATTGAGATTGACAGCTTCAGTGAATAATTTTGCTCGTTCAGTTATGTTCCATTCTTTTTTCTCTTCCTTTTCTCCTTCTCTTTAAAAAAAAAGCATTGGTCTCAAACAGGGCTTCCTGAGCTCCTGCAGACCTCCTGCCTCTGGAGCAACGCTTGGAAAGGTTCCTCTTTTTTAAAACTACAACTCCCAGGATCCTCCAGCCAGCCTGGCCTTGTAGACTGTCTGCCCCCCCCCCCAGCCATCGGAGCCAAACTGGGTCGCTCTCCTCTCTCTGCCCACTAAGTGCCACTGATTAAACACGGGGAGGCCCTCGGCCCTCTTGCGCCCTGCTGGTCGGGCCAGGGGGCCTGGGACTTTCTGCCAGAACTGTCAGCTAAATGCAACTTTGCGGTGTGTGTGTGTGTGATCTGTCCATGCTTAGGTCTGAGGATGATGATTTTCTGTGCCATTTCTCCTTCGTACAGATCCCGAGCCAGAGTAGAACGATAAGTGAAATCAATATAAGCACACACCATCGGATGACATTTCAACAGCGTTCAGGCCACTCCCAGCTGGGGAAGGGTCGGGATGAAAAGATATCAGGACCTGAGGAGAGCTGTGGTGCTGGATCAGGCCCAAAGGGGCCTCGGTTGCTCAGCGTGCTGCTCCCACGGGGGCCAGCCAGTAACCCCAAAGCCCGCCAGTGGGGCAGAAGGGCAGCTTGCAGCCCTCCCCCACCCCTCCAGTCATGGGTCTATGTAGAGGCAGCTTCTGATACTGGAAGTGACCCTCACTGGTCTTCCCTGGATCTGTCCCAGGTTGGCTGCCATGGCCAGGATGCTCTGGTCGGTGCTTTCCATGTGTGCTTGAAACAGGCCTGTGCGGAGGGTGATGCCCGCCTTTGGTCTTGGCTGCCCAACGGAAATCCATGGGAGACGGCCGGGACAGGGAGGCCGCCTCCCCTGGCAATTAGACCGGGTGAGGAGGTTGGTCTGGAGGGTGCGGAAAGAGCAGCCACTTCCCTTCTGGTCGCCTTTCCCTGAGTGGCACCAGCTGTGTAGGCGAATCCTGTCCCTTTAAACCGACTCCAGAAGCCGACTAGCAAACAATGGCCATCTGGCATGAAAACCACATTGTGGACTACAGCGATCCTATCCAGAGGGATTCTGGGAGTTGTAGTAATCCTCCCAAAGAAGAAGGGCTTCCAGGCTCTGGTGTGTTCCTCAGGACAAGAACCTGGCTGCTGTGCTTCCTTATTATTTACTTACTTATTGCTTGCTTGCTGGTTTTATGAAAACCACCCAGAATAGTGCTAATGAATAGGGGTAGTAAATAAGGTTAGTTAGTTCATTCATTCATTCATTCATTCATTCATTCATTCATTCATTCATTCATTCATTCATTCATTCATTCATTCATTCATTCATTCATTCCCTGCCCCCATATGAACTCTAACCTTTTTGTGTCCATGGGTGTGCTTGCATTCTGGCCTAGCTAGTGGCTGAGAACGGTTGGTATAGATAGACGCATACATCGGTTGCAAGCGTGTCCACCATTCTTGTGAGGGAACCTGCAGTCGGGCCATCCCCATGCACACAAAAGGGTTGACAGCAGGAGCCATTCACAGAAATCCAGTGGGATTCTCCTAGCATTTTAAGGCCGGGGACATCTCTGGGTGTACCTTTCCATTGGGGAATCTGCTGTGAGCATGCTGGACTCAAATGGGTTCAATGATCTCAGTAATCCTGGGACTATGTTTTGTTCGTCTTGTATTGTGGTTATGTCACCCGTGTTCCAGAAAGAGTGGTTGGAGGTGGAGGTTTGCTGAAGGCCGTGTAGTGAGATAAGATCTGAGTTGGGGAAAGGCTCTGTGTCCCCTTCTTAAGTCACGGTTAACCAGCACACCCGCTTGTGACCGGCTGTGGTTCAAATGCATCTCCAGGACAGGAGTCCTCAAGAGACAGGATGGTCACATCCAGAACACTCTGTGCTGTTTTCGGTCTTCCCAGTCAGAGGGAGGGTACATCCCGATGCGTCTGAGTCTTCCCTGATTAGTCATGAAGAACAGCTTCCGTTACCCTTGACTTTCTGTCTTGTCCAAACTGTGTTAACCAGTTTGGGGAGAAGCCCAGGATGCGACACCCATGTCAAATGGTGGTTTAGTATCCTGGCTTGTCCAAACCATTGCAAAAGTGGGATACAAATGCAAACCTAATCAGCAGCGGCAACAACACCAGCAACAGTAATGTTTTGTTGTTGGCTTAATGCATGTGTAAGCCCTTTAACTATGGACTGTTTCAGCCTTCCGAGGAGCAAGTCCTCATGAGTGAGACCATGAGCAGGGCATTGGGGCAGCTCTTTCATGTCTTCCTTCTCTCTCCCTGTCGGCAGGCGCCAGAACTGGATTCTTCACGGCTCTCTGCCGACCCTGACCAAACCTTTGAAAGAGAAACTCAGACGGCGGAGATCTCTCTCACCTTAATTGCCTCCTTCCAAGCAATGGAGAAGAAGGTGGATTCCTACGCGACACGGTTGCAGGATCTGGAAGGGAGGACGGGCACGGCCGAGAGGAAGATCACAGACTGTGAAAAGACGGCTGTGGAAATCGGGAACCAACTGGAGAGCAAGTGGGCGGCCCTGGGGACCCTGATCCAGGAGTACGGGCTGCTCCAGAGGAGGCTGGAGAACATGGAGAACCTGCTCAAGAACCGGAACTTCTGGATCCTCAGGCTTCCCCCCGGCTCCAAAGGGGAAACTCCCAAGGTAACCCAAATCCTGGCTTAGCGTTGCACCGAGTGGTATGATCTCAGCTTGTTACCATCTTCCTGAGCAACCGTGGCAAGAAATGATGGCAGTGGCTGCTTAGGTGGCCTGAAATCAGACTGCTTCTTGGGGTCTGTGAGATGGGCTGGCAAACTTTGCTGAGCCCCCGGGGAAAGGCAGAGGGGGATGGGGGCACACCAGCCTTGGTTCTGATCCAGCTTTGAGGCTCCCCTCCTGTCTTGTATTTTTTTTTCTTATACTACAACATAGGCATAAACATAAAAGACATAAACCAAAATACAAATTGACTGTGTTCCCCACCACCACAGATGGGACCTCTTGCAGTAACCCTCTTCTTCCTCCATCTTTCTTCTTCTTCTTCCTATATTGTCCTCTTCTCCAGAACTGCATTGATTCTTGATTTGGAGCTTTCCCTTTTCCTCTTGTTAACACATATTCAATAAATCTGCCCCATAGATCATAGAAATTATTCTTTTTCATCTGTCCTTTCTTAACCTTTAAGTTACAAGTTAACTTATTATTTATAGTAATGTTCCATATTTCATTATACCATTCTTGCATTCGAAATTCAGACTTTGATTTCCAATTCCTAGCTATTATTAATCTGGCTGCTGTTAATAAATTGGTAATCAATTCTCTAGTCATCTTATCATATTCCACATTCTCAAATATTGATAACAGAGCTGTCTCAGGATTAAATTCTATATCTTTTTCACATATGTCATTTTGTTCTTTAAAGATTAGTTTCCAAAATCTTTGTACTTTTTCACATTCCCACCAGATATGAAAGTATGTACCAATTTCCTTCTCACATTTCCAACAGACATTCAGATAACTAGCATTAATTTTATCCAATTTTGTTGGTGCCAAATGCCATCTTAAAACAATTTGAAAAAAAAGTCTCTTATTCTCATTGCTATAAATCATAAAACCCTCATTTTCCACATCTTCCTCCATTCTTCGTCATTTATTCTTTTCCCTAAGTCTTGTTCCCACACTATCTTCAATCTTTCTTTCTCAGTCTTCTTCTAGATGAAGCAGGAATCTATAAATTTTACTCAGTGCACCCTCTACTCAATCAGTCATCTGAATATCATATGATAATAGAATTCTGATGATTCCATTTCCCACCAAATTTACCTTTCTGGGTTATATATAATTTCCCCAATGAACCTCAACTGATTAGCCAAATACAGTAATAATTTTTTTTATATTTGGTATGCCTATACCTCATTTTTTGTTTTATACCAGTACTTTTTATTTATTCTGGCTCTCTTCCCTTCTTTACAACATTTATTAATCATTCCTTGCCAGAATTTAAAATAATCTTCTGTTAACTGGTAACATTCTAAATAAAAATGTTAATTTTATCCAATTTTGTTGGTGTCAAATGCCATCTTAAAGCAATTTGAAAAAAAGTCTCTTATTCTCACTGATATAAATCATAAAACCCTCATTTTCCACATCTTCCTCCATTCTTCCTCATTTATTCTTTTCCCTAAGTCTTGTTCCCACACTATCTTCAATCTTTCTTTCTCAGTCTTCTTCTAGATGAAGCAGGAATCTATAAATTTTACTCAGTGCACCCTCTACTCAATCAGTCATCTGAATATCATATGATAATAGAAGTTGTTCATACTTTGTATATTCTCTACCTTTATTATACTTCTTTACCCATTCATTAGTCCATCTTTCTAATTGCATATAATTCAACCATGATATATTCTTATTTTGAAGGATTTGTTTCATTTGATCTTTCGATCTGATTTTATACAACCAGTCATTTAATCTAATCACCTTTTTCTTTAAATAATTCTGCATAAACTTTCATATTGGCAGGCAAATTCTCTATTTCAGTCACTAATCCTAATGGAGAGTTAAACAGACATAAATTCTTTCTATACTTGTACCAGACATTTAACATAGTCTTTAAAAACATGTTATTAATTTTGCTTATTTTACATTTCTTAATCATACCAATAGATGTTTTTCAATATCCACCTGTAATTCTGATGATTCCATTTCCCACCAAATTTACCTTTCTGGGTTATATATAATTTCCCCAATGAACCTCAACTGATTAGCCAAATACAGTAATAATTTTTTTTATATTTGGTATGCCTATACCTCATTTTTTGTTTTATACCAGTACTTTTTATTTATTCTGGCTCTCTTCCCTTCTTTACAACATTTATTAATCATTCCTTGCCAGAATTTAAAATAATCTTCTGTTAACTGGTAACATTCTAAATAAAAAAATTAATTTTTGGTAGAATCATTTTTATCAGTGCGATCCTTCCAAACCAATAAAGTTTTAAGTTAGTATATTCCTGTAGGGTCTTTTTAATATCTCCTTTTATTTTATTATAATGTTCCTTTATTTTTTGAATATCTTTTACTAAATCTATACCTAAATATTCAACCAATTTACATATCTTGAAATCATATTTACCAACAAACTTTTCTTGTTCTAGTTTGTTATGATTAAACAACATTATTTCAGATTTTTGCCAATTTACATGTAATCCAGTTATTTTTCCAAATTTTTCTAAATGAATTTTAATTCTATCTATACTTTCTAATGGGTTTTTCACTGTCAATAGGGAATCAAGAACAAATAAATTAATCTTTATTTTATTATTTTCACTCATACCTTCAATTAAATCATCATTCCTTATTGCATTTGCTAACATTTCAATTATCAAACAACACAGAACTGGAGAAAGAGGGCAACCTTGTCTGGTGCCTTAGCCTAGAGCTGTCTGCTCTGTCATCCCATCATTAACAATTACTGCAGAAGTGTTCTCCAAATATAATTGGTCTATTACCTCCCTAAATTTCTTTCCAAAACCCTAACCCTTTAAAAGGATCTTTAATATTGGCCATTCTACACAATCGAATGCCTTAAAAATATCTATTGATAAAATACCTGCCTTTGATCTTTTTCTATATTGTATATAATATTCAAAACCCTCCTTGTAAAATTTTCCATTTGTCTTCCCTTTAAAAACCCATTTTAATCCTCTTTAATAGATTTTGTAATACATTTATTCATTCTATTTGCTAAGGTTGCAGTAAATATCTTTGCATCTTGATTTAATAATGAAATAGGTCTATAAGAACTTGGGTCTGTTAAATCTTTATTGGGTTTTAGAATAAGAGTTGTTAATGAATATTTCCAGGAATCTGGTATCTTCTCTCCTTCCAATATTCCATTATAAAGTATTTTTAACTTGGGAATCAGTATTGATTTAAAAGCTTTATAATATTCTGATCCCATACCATCAAAGCCTGGAGTTTTACCATTTTTTAGTTTGTTAAAAATCTCTGTAATCTCTTTATCCTTTATCTCTTTTTCTAATTCTCTTTTATCATTCTCTAATAGTTTACTCTTTACATTTCCTTTAATATACTTTTTTATATCTTCTTTTGATGTACTATTACCTTTATATAAATTTTGGTAAAAATCTTGTAATATCATTCATTTTTTCTTCATTAGGCTACAATTCTTTCCTGTTTTATCTCTGATCACTCCAATTGTGTTTTTTTTATCTTTTAGTTTTAGAGAAGAATGTGTTGTTTACCTAGATGTAGGATTTCTGCACTGTTAAATGGGATGTTTCTAGCACTGGTACCAAGTGGTGCCTGATTTAAATGAGGGTTTCATTGACATCCTTTATTCAGTAGCCTAGGTTGTTGAGAGAGGGGTTTCTTCTCAGTTGTTCGAGGATCCAGGCTGCCCATCGTACGCGGCATGCCTGGGGGGGGGATAAGCCACCTTCAGGAGAGTGTGGCACGGGCCACGTAGGATGGGATTCTGGGACCATTTTAGGAGAAGATCTGCCGAGAAGAGCTGTCATGGAGCCTTTGGGGCAAGCGAGCCCCAGGCCTCAGCACCGTCCTTCGGAGGGGGAGAGCTGCCCGCGGTTGTCATCTCGCCTGGCCCCTTCACCCCTCGGCCAGATTGCAGCTCATCCATGAAATGGCCACGCCCTGCTCCCACGTTGTGGCATCAGATCTATTCTTGACAGTCATGCTAGGCATCAGAGGCTAGATGGTCGTGGAGACCTTTTTAAAAATGTGCCTCTAAAGGTTATTTTTTTTGGGGGGGTTGCATCATCCGTTTGTTTACATGCTCCTTTGATAGTTTTGTGACTATATATTTATTATCCTGTTGCATATTACTTGTATTTTAACGATGGTGAGCTATCTCGAGTTCCTTAATGGGAGAAAGGCGGCATTCATAAGGGCCCTCCTTGAGAAGGACACGTCACCAGGAGACCTGTTCCGATCCCTTTAGGCCGAGAGATTGCGGTCCGTTCTGGGCAAGACGTGTTTCAGCTGGGGGGGGGTCAGCCCATGCCCGCTGCTGCGATGGCAGAGTGGCTAAGCGTGTGCCTATTGGGGTTCCAGGTGCCTGTGACCTTTGACGACGTGTCCGTCTACTTCAACGACAAGGAGTGGGAGAAGCTGGAGGCCTGGCAGAAGGAGCTCTACAAGAACTTGATGAAGGGGAACCACGAGTCGCTGATCTCGCTGGGTAACGCGCGGGGGGGGCTCCAGCTGGGTCCAGGGGGTGCTTTCTGGGGGAGGGGGAGAGGGCCCTTCCCCACCCGTTGGGTTTAGGGCAGACCGTACCGGGGTGCCTCGACTAGCCGTGTGTACGGTTTCTCCCAGCCTTCAGGTCAGCGTGGGTGCTCATCGGCTTCGGTGGTCCCCTGCTCCATGCAGACAATGAGCTTAATCTCTTTGAAGTGATTGCTGTTCTGGAATCTGGGATGGTGGGCGGTGGGCTCCTTACTTGGGAAATTGGGGGGGCGAAACCACCCACCCACCCTCTCTTTCCCCACTCTCTGGACTGGTCTTTTCCGGGCTGGAATGGCCAGCCCAAGAAGCAGGCGAGGTTTGTCCTCTGGCTACAGCAGCTAATGCTTCCTGATCTCGGATGAATTTTTAAAGGAGAAAACGAGAAGGAGGGAAGCCCCGTTTGTGTCAGTGGTAGAAGACCTGATGGGGACAAAGTTTTCACCAGCCGCTCTTGCTGTCGTCAGATCTCTGGGGGGAAATGAGGTTTTGACTACAACTCCCAGAACCCCTGAGCTAGGAGTGCTATCTGGGAAATTCTGGGAAATGTGGTCCCAAATCATCATCTCCCCAAGTTCTGATATAGAGTGCAGCAGCAATAATAACAACAACAACAACAACAACAACAACAACAAAACAATAATAATTTATTTTTATTATTTTTGTTTTTATTATTTAGCTAAGTTCAGTTTAGTTTATTTGATTTATACCCCTCCTATTTGGCCCAATGGACCACTCTAGGTGGCTTATTGTTGTTGTTGTTGTTGTTCACAGAGGAGCCCCACTGGAGGGCTGGCCCCATCCTTTACCCGTGACCATTCTTCTCTGTTTCCACTTCACACAAGCTGGTGGCTGCTTCCCTTATTCCGGAAGGGCAGACAGCTGCTTAGCCTTCCACCAGATACCTTGGTGCTGGTTGCCAGATGTTAGCTGGGTAGAACTGGCCTTTGAGAGTTCCTGAGGGCTATGGGGGTCCTACCGGCTGGGGGTGGTACATCCAGCCCGTCCAAAGGGAGAGCTCTTGCCAATTGTCCTCATCTAGAAGGAAGGAAGGAAGGGAGGAGACAGACAGACAGACAGACAGTAAACCCTTTATGCAGAAGCCTATTTGAAATGGGCTTTTCTTGGGGCGGGGGGGGGAGAGATTGTGCCTGGTGATGCAAAAAAACACAACACCCCCATTCGTTTCCTCTAACAGACTATGCAATATCGAAGCCCGGCGTTTTAGCCCAGACGGAGCCAGGGACCGACTCTTGTCTTGGCGACGAGCAGGACTCAGAAGAGCAGGGCAGCCTTCCAGATCCCACAGCAGGTATGTGGCATTCACTTGGCATCGTGCATGTGTGTGTGTGTCTGCGTGTGTGTGTGTGGGTGCTAAGAAGAGAGGGTGGTGCTGCCACCGCTGGAAGATTTGCATTGTGAGTCAATTCTGGAAGTCTGCTGCACAGGCAATTGACTTATTTTAAGAGAGGTTTGGCTTAGTCTGGTCTGAGCTGCTTTCGCATTGGGTTTCGTGCTCACTCTCCTGTCCCTGTTCGCACACGCACACCCGCTTGCTCAGTGGTTGAGGCCCCTGGCCGCAGAGCCAGAGGCTGGGAGTTTGATTTCCCACTGTGCCTTCTTGAGAGGAGCTGCCCCCCCCATGAGCCATGAAGGGTCCCTTCAAGCTCTGCAGTGCTAAGATGATGATGATGATCAGGAATGCATGGCGCTGCATGTCTGCTCTGCAGCTGAAAGCCGTTTGAATTTCCGTTCCTCTGTTCTCTCTGGGTTTTTTTGGCGTTTTCTGTTTTTCTTTACTGTTTGATTAAGAGCTTGTTACCTATTTTGTGCATTGACCCTCTGTTCTAATGAACCTCTTGCCAGTTTGTGAATTTGGGGTTTTCTTTTATCCTTGTGGGTCAATGCAATCTGTTTCGCTTTTTTGAAATAGGTTTTCTATGATGATCCGGCTGCCTGTCCACCTCCAGGGTGCACAGTCGCTTTCTAAATTTACTAAATCTTCAGCACCACCTTCAAGGGCCACACCACACAGAGAGAATTCTAGCAGTCAATCCTCAGGATTGGAAATACATGAATAACAGACATAATCCCCAAATTCCAAGTGGGAACACAACCGGCACATCAGTGCCATTGATAAAAGGGCTGCTTGGATCATGTCGCCACACCTTTTCCGGCCGTGCTGTCCTGTTTAGGCTGCCGGTTTGCCAGTCAGATTATGAAGTGACTGGTAAACAGTCCTCTCAGCATTGACTCAGGCAAATCTGAATTAAACATCACTCTGTGGAGCCCCTGCCTACTTGGCCAATGGCTCCAAAAGATAAAAAGGAAATGTCTTGTAAGACATTTAGAACTAGCAGATTTATCTGAGTGGTATCTTTTGCAGGTAGCGAGCCTCTTCTTTAGAGTCTTGGAGGGAGCCTTAAGGGTCTGGCCAGGTGGAAGTAAAGAGGGCCCCCTTCGGCCACCAGGAAGTTCCAGAGGCCAGCTGTACTGGGGGGGCACATCCTTCAGGAAAGTAGCCAGTATCTGGTTACAAGGAATGCACTTTCTTTACTTGAAGTTCCTTTCTTCTTGGGGGGGGGGAGGTAATAAGGGGACAACAACGTTATGTTTCCAAAGTAGTGGAACAAGTAATTAACACAGTTCTTTTTTTTTTTTGGTGTACCATGTCACTTTCCTAGTTACTTTTAAAAGTTGCCTTTCAATGGCCTTCTTCAAATTCCTTATCATTCCTTCAGCAAGCCGAAGTGACAAGAGAGATGGCTGTTTTGTTTCACCTTTTCTGTTTTTGTGAGCTTTTTTTCCCCTGGTGCCGTGATCGGGCCCAACTGAATGAACCAGGGAGTGTGATCTTTATCGGGGACTCCAGTAAGGCAGCATAGCCATTGAAGGTCTCCTCGTTCAGAGGAAAGGGATGTACGAATGAAACACATAGATAGATAAGATAAATAAGGTGTTTTTCATGCGCAGTGATGAATTCTTGGACAGACGCAGAGCAAAGGTAAGGCAGACGTGGGTGCTGCGACAGAAAGAGCAGTCCAGTGAGTTTCCTTTTCATTGGGACCCGTTCAAGCGCCGTGTTTTGTTGGGGTCGGCTGCCACGCCTGGGGCTGCTCCTGCAAAACACATCTTCTCTCTTCCGACTCTTTCCCGCTGCAGCAGGCATAAGGGTGGTGATCAAAACGGAGGAGCCCCATTCTGACGACTGCCCGGAAGACCTGGAGCCGCATCAGACCTCGGGGAGCTCAGAGGGGGATTTCCCGGGCTTGGACCAAGAAGCCCCCTGCGGAAGTCCGTACAGCGCGGCGACCCCTCTGGGCAACCTGGCGGCCAACAACCTGGAAGAAGCCGGCGAGTACGACATGCACTACGGGGAGATCAAGAGGGTCACCGTCCAGCACAGCAGCTGCGCGGGTGAGTGTCAGCCGGAGCATAGCCAGAGCTTCAGCCCACCCGCCCTGCGCTCCCCATTTCTCCCGTTCCTGAGGCTTCTTGCTTGGGTGAGAGGGTGCCTGGGTGCACACCATCCTGTGTGCCGTCGCTTACCCTCACCCCCTGAAGGGGACGACGAGGCCCTTTTCTGGGCACTCTTGCAGACCGAGACTCTGGGCCGGAGAACCTTTTGCAAGAGAGCAGCTCCAGGGCCCTAAGACCAGCCTGGGGAAGCTGTCCTTTTGCATCCTGACCAGAGGTATCGAGGGCACCCCCCCCCTCCAAGAAGAGCTTTCCCGTGCTCTGCCTCCAGAGTCCAGGCCTTCTGGGCCCTCGGCGCATCTCCCCTGGATGTTCCGGCTCTCGCTGGCCATCTGTTGGGAGGGATGCCAGGCACCTGGGCAGGAGAGGCTCCTCTGCGCTGGGGAGACCATTTGTACCTGTGGCCGATCTCAGGGTGCAGGAGTACTCCCGTTATCCAGGGGTCCATCTCTCCTGCTCTCCTTAGGAACTCCTTTTTTGCTGTTGTTGTTCTTGTTGTTGTTGTGGGATGGGGTGAGGAGGGAACCTGGCAGTCCCCAAAGCAGGTAGCAGGTACTGATTCTGATCCAGGGAATGCCTGCAGGGGCACAGCTAGGGAGTGGGTCTGTTTCAGGGAAGAATCCCAGAACTTCTGCATTCAGAAGAGGGTTGCAGCTCCTGGGCTTACCATTCCTGAGAAATGTTGAGACTGTTTTTATCCTCACTCTTCGCCCTGTCCTCAACAGAGGTATGTAATGCTCTGTATTATTCTCTCTCTCTCCCCACCCCAAGATGATGGCATTGTGATCAAAATGGAGGAGGAGGAGGAAGAGGAGGAGGAAGAAGAGGAAGAGGAGGAGGAGGAAGAGGAGGAAGAAGAGGAGGAGGAAGACCCCGTCAGCTTAGAGCCACGGGGGCTGTTCTCTTCCCGGGCCGAGCCCCCCTGCTCGTTAAACTGCAACGTGGAAGTCATGCGGGATGACCAGCGGATCGCAAAGCCTCCCAGAGCCAGCGTGGGGATCTGCGCCCCACTGTGCGAGAGGGACAATAGCGCCGAGGCACGGCCGGTCACCCTTCAGCAGCGGAACCGGACGCGCGAGCGGCCGTACGTCTGCCCGGAGTGCGGCAAGAGCTTCATGCTGCGCATCAACTACATCATCCACCAGCGCAACCATCTCAAGGAGGGCCCTTACGAGTGCCACGCCTGCGACCTCAGCTTCCGCATCAAGCAACAGTTCCTGCTGCACCAGCGGCTCCACACCGCCCGCCGGGGCGTGGCCCCTCCGCCCCGCCGAGGGCAGGCCTACCCGGACAAGCGCGGCCTCAAGCCGCAGCCCCGGCCCTCTCCAGCGCCCGGAAAGCCCTACAAGTGCAGCGAGTGCGAGAGCAGCTTCAGCCACAAGTCCAGCCTGAGCAAGCACCAGATCACGCACGTGGGTGAGCGGCCTTATGCCTGCAACGAGTGCCGCAAGAGCTTCCGGCTGCAGATCTCCCTGGCCATGCACCAGCGGGTGCATGCTGGCAAGAGCGAGCTGTCCTTCATCTGCCCGCAGTGCGGCAAGGCCTTCAGCCGCCCCTCGCACCTTTTGCGACACCAGCGGACTCACACGGGGGAGCGGCCCTACAAGTGCAGCCAGTGCGATAAGACCTTCAGCGAGAAGTCCAAGCTGACCAACCACTACCGCGTCCACACCCGCGAGCGGCCCCACGCCTGCGGCGAGTGCGGCAAGGGCTTCATTCGGAAGCACCACCTCCTCGAACACCAACGCATCCACACTGGGGAGCGGCCGTACCACTGTGCCGAGTGCGGGAAGAATTTCACCCAGAAGCACCACCTGCTCGAGCACCAGCGGGCGCACACCGGCGAGCGGCCGTACCCCTGCACGGAATGCGCCAAATGCTTCCGCTACAAGCAGTCCCTCAAGTACCACTTGCGGACACATGTGGGGGAGTGAGGGTCAACCCTCTCCCTCACTCTCTTTCCCCCTCCTCCTAAAGCCTGGCATCAGGGACGGATGACCGACCTGGGGGTATTGGGGAGGAAGTGGGGGGAAGGAGGAGGGAGGCTTTCTCCAGGTGTTCCTCCGCGCCTCCCCAGGGACCCAGACTCATGGTCTCTTCCTTTAAGTAAATAACGGGTTCCGGAATCCAACTAACCGCACCTGTCGGCACCCTTGGCACCCGCCTGACCTGAACTGTTCACCTTGCTTCTGCCTTCCTTGCCCCAGTTCTCTTCTTTTTGATAATAAATGTGGAGTCTGATTTATTTGGTAAGCCGATGGTTCAGGTTTGAGTTTGTTTCGTGAGCCTCCGGCCACAGCTGGCAGTAAGGGCACTCTCAGACAGGAGAGTGCTGGATCACTCCTGCCTGAGAGTGCCGGATCACTCTCCTGCCTGAGAGTGCCGGATCACTCTGCCTGAGAGTGCCGGATCACTCTCCTGCCTGAGAGTGCCGGATCACTCTCCTGCCTGAGAGTGTCGGATCACTCTCCTGCCTGAGAGTGCCGGATCACTCTCCTGCCTGAGAGTGCCGGATCACTCTCCTGCCTGAGAGTGCCGGATCACTCTCCTGCCTGAGAGTGCCGGATCACTCTCCTGCCTGAGAGTGCCAGGCCCCTGAGCCCGCTGAGTCTTGAGGGGAAGAGAGAACCCACCGTGGAGCCCCGCTGCCGCCAAGTTTGCCATTACAAAAAAAAAAGGACCTTCGCCCCATATGCTGCAAACAGGCCTCTTGGCTGGAACACTCTGCGGAACTTGACAGGTTCTAACCTTTTTTCTGAAAGGGATGTTATGGATTTGTAACTACTGAGAGGAGAGCAGGGAATGGTCTGTGTACTGGGGGGGAGAACCCACCCGTGCGGATGTCTAGAGGAGTCTCTGATGTTTTGCTCTTCGTTGTTGTTATTTTGTTCTCACGTTCTTGCCAACATAAAAACATCCCAAGAGTGGTTCTGAGGTCTGTGAGATGTTCAAGGAAGGGTTTATCATTGCAGCGCCCTGTTGCGCTTCCATGGTTGAGCAAGAATTTGAACCCAGGCCTCCTGAGCCCTAGTCTTACATTCTGGCCTCTGCACCTCTCTAGCTGTTGCTGTGAGTAGTAAACCACATGTATGCATGGAGCTGCCTTCTCCTGAGCCAGAGGACAGGTCGTCCTGCCCAGGTTCAGGGGCTGTGCCTTCTTCGGTCTGCATTTTAAGAAACTAGAGGTGTTACGGATTGAACCAGCCCATTTTGGTTTATCACTATTGTGTTCTGCCCCCCCCAGGCGGGGCTTTCCTTTATTCTTGGCCATGAGAACGAAAAACTTGGGGTGTCAGAAACGGACGGGTGCTGAAATACACTGAATGTTCCCCGAAGGTGTCCCAGATCTGCGGTTCTCCTCTTTTGCCCTGCTGTGTGTTTTTGGGACCCCAGTTTCCAGAAGACCTGACCGCTGGCTCGCTCGTTGGGGCTTCTGGGAACTGAAGTCCAGTTCAATTCAATCTTTATTACGGTCGTTGACTAGCGTAAAAATCCAAAACATCTGGAGAACCAAAGGCTGAGACTCACTGCCAAGATCGTGAGCTTAGAAACGCGCCCCCAAAGGGATGGGGGGGGGCAAAGCCAGTTTCTCCCTGTGGCTTCAAAGGACAAAATGGGGAGATGCAGCCATGCTTCCCTGCCCAAATTAAATGCTCTCCCTCCCTTGCACTCATCTTGGAAACAATGAGCTGCATTTACTGCGACTCTTAACAATGTCTGCATCAAGCATGAGAGTTCTGTCCCCCATCCCTGCTCCCAGCAAATGCAACATTTTAATTTGCTGTCCTGCTGCAAGGAGCCGCAGGTTCTTGCCCTTGGCTGGTGTGTTTTTAGAGGCTGGAAACGGTGGCTGCAAACAATTAATCCCAGGTATGATTTGCCTACACCCATTGCACTGAATGGGAACTGGGTGGGGCGGCCGTGGCCCCTGCAGGATCACCGGGGGAGGGGCGTGGGACTTCTTGGCCACCCCAGATTGGGAGCTGGCCAGGCCTGGGCCCGAAGATTGAGCTCCTGCAACGGGGCCTCAGACCCCCGGGGTTTTGCATACGGCAAATGTCTGTAGGGTGGGGGGCCCCCAAAGTGAGGGGTCGGGATAGATGAGAGAGCAGGACACAGAACGATGCTACAGAAAGCCAGGTTTCGGCTGAATGTCGGGGGGGGTGAGGGGTGAGAATGAGCCGGGACCCTCTCCTCTCCCCCCCGCATCCCCCCTCCCCCTCTGCAGCTGGGGAAGGCGGCCTCCAGCCCTAAGCCTTGCCGTGGAGTCCTCCGCCCACAGGGGGCGCTGTGGCGAGACCTGCAGCGGCGAAGGCGCTCTCTTGGCCTCGCTCGGTCCTGCCGCGCAGGCGCCGTCCCGCTTGCTCCCTTATTCCCCCCCACCCCTCCCCTCAGGCAAATCACTCCAGACGGCGCATGCGCGACGGCGGAGGGAGCGAGAGGGTCCCGGTGAGAGCGTCTCCCCTTTCTCGGCCACCCGGCTCCCCTTCCCCCCCC